AAAATTTATTACCAGTATTTATTTATTATCAATAACAGCACTGAATGACAAGTCTTTTTCTATTTGGCAAATCCTCAACAAGATTTAATTTGCTTAATTGGTAAGATTGAATAACAAGAGTCTTCATCACTGGATACCATTTCTACTTCTTTGATTTCTTGTTACTCAAAAAGGGGTGAAAAATGAATGTTTGTTTGAGGGGAAGCTTATAAGTAAATTAGATTATTTGATTCAAATTTCTTTGTTTCCCGCGCTACAACTGTGACTAAAATTTGAATTTGGAGCTGCTTATATTAATCCATTTTCTTTCTGCATGCATGGCTGTCCTGAATTGTTAGAAATAGTACACTGAGTGTGACTGTCCCAAACTGTCCAATTGGTCACATTTCACTATCTAAAATGCATTTTCATGAAACCAATTTTCAAATTTTGTTGACATGTGTGGGGTTTCAGTATTTCACTGATTCCCGGAGTTGGCTTAAATTCAACGAAACAGTTAATGCAATGTTTGGTGGTAAGACTATCAGAGTATTAACTTCTGTCTTTAAGTCCGATACCTGCGCTGAAACTGATATTCCTTTCATTGAAGAAGAAAAAAAAAAATATATTATTGACATGTTAATTATAATTATGATAGTAACATATTTTTTAATTGGATGAAATATTTTGGAAATCACAATTTTGTGAATTTCATATTTTAATTAAGGATTTTTTTATTTTGTAATTTTTAATAAATTTTAATTAATAAAACAATAAATGTATTGCGAGAGTTGTGTTAAAGTTTTTCGAAAAATAAATTCTAATCAATAAAAAATTATTATATTAAGAGAAATGTGTTAAAGCTGTCCCAAAGAGTTAGTGACTAGTGATGTGTATTGTTGGGTCAGAAATTGTGTGAACTTCTTACAATTCAAATTCCAAATTTGGCATTTGTATACTTAAAAGAAAAATAATGAATGTGTGATATCAATCTCCATGCTCATGTTGTTGTCTAATGTCTAGGACAGATATTCTTGACCTGTTAAGGACTTTAACTTAACTTTTTTTAATTTTAATTTTTAATATGTATTATTTTAATATTAAAATACAATTTTTAGAGCCAAATATTGAAAATGATATTTATGTATTATGTGTTTCTATTTTAATAAATTATTCTATTTTCTTTTTATAATATTTGAAATTAGTATTATGTTGAAATCTCATAAACTCTTACTCTAGTACAATGATTTGACTATAATTGATTCAACAATATATTATTAATTAATACAAAAAGTTATAAATAAATAAATAAATAAAAATAATGACCAAAATTAACCATGCTCTTTTCCTTGCTTGAGAACAATACAGTATTTAACATTCTCACTAAATAAATTTTGTTCTTAAAATTTCTACTCCAATATATATATATATATAAATGAAGAGGCTGACCTTCCATTTGGCTATGGAGAATGTGAAGGCATGGGGCATTTAAAATGAAACATTTTTTAAGGACCACTTTTGCCTCGTGTTGAGCGGAACACCGTCGACCTGAAAACGGTTGTTCAACATGCACACCTTTTTACTATTCTTCGTACTTCGTAGAATACATCACAACATGTTATCCTCACCCAAAAATCAAATACAATATTATGGTTTTGATGAAGTCTATTTGAAAGTTATTTTATTTTTTATTCATAAAAATTATTTTATAATAGGACCTTTTAAGAGGCAAATAAAATCATTATTAAAGTGGATGTCAGACTCAATTTTATGCAGTCGTGGAATGAGTTATGAATATAAACTTAAATAAAATAAAATATAAAAAAACTGACCAGTAAAAGCTTGAAAAGGAAATAAATAAAAAAAGTGTCAAAATTGGAAAGTTTTCACTGCTGGAGACAGGTTCTCCAATTCATCAAATGAAAAACCCGAAAATTTAAAAATCTTAATTTGAGAATACTAATTTTTCATGTACGATTTATTATTTTAAAAAACAATATTTTAGAAACTTAACATCATTTTTTGAGAATTTTTTTTTATCTATTCTTCTCACAAAATTGTTATTATTTGAAAAGGGAAAATTTAATTTTCTCAAGTTAAAAGCAAAGTTTTACTGTAGTAAAAAATCACATTACCTTCGTTAACTCATTTAATATTGTAAACAATTAAAGTTTATGAATATTTTTTATTAATATTAAACATAAAAAATTATTTGATTCCTAATAAATATAAAAATATTTACAATCAACTAAACAAATTTTAGTAATTATTAACAATTATAGATTTTGAAATTCACGATTCTCATAAATGAGGATTCTTAGTCATGAAAACACTTATATTAAATTTAAGTTAGGCTAACCCTTTTTACTAAAGAAGTTAAATATAGTTCTTTTCAATCAATTTAATGAAAAACTAGCTTTAAGTTATTAAAAAAATTATATTTAATAATGGACCTTGTTAACTAAATACACAAAATATATTAATATTAATATTTTATCATTATTATGGTAAATTTATTGATATATTTTGAAAGTATATATTTATTGATTTATTTAAAATTTTAAACTCGTAGGCTTATTTAAAGATTTAAGTTTATTAACTTATTTAAAATATTTTATTATAAATAGAATAAATAGTCTATGCATTTATTCCATAAATCTTTTTACATTGTTTTTAATTACAAATCATCATGATAAGTTTGTTGATTTTATTATGATTACTTTAAAAACATACTAATGATAGTTTAATACTTATTGATTGACCGTATATAATCTTTTATACTATGAATACATACAAAATAAAGTCTAGAATACAATGTTAAAACATATTTTAAAGTCAAAGTTAGGCTATAAATTAAAAAGTCTTATGTCACGAAAATAAATTAAGTTCAAACCGTTAAATTTGAAACACATTAAAAATAGCCTTACAAATCTTAACCAAATCCATTTTCAAACACAATGTTAACCTAATCCATTTTCACACTTAATCCATCATGTGTGGTAACCCTTAGAAAGTTGAAAAGTACTAATCGGCAAACACGATATGGAAAATTCAGAACCAATTTCTTGATGATCTATTTTACTTTTATGTGCGCCAATTTCTCCCTAAATATAGCAAGAAGATAAGGTATCTCCCGACATAATACCTTTGGGAAAAATACCAATGTTGTAAAGAAGACCGATGAATGTGTTTGGCAAGTCATTTTCACGAGTTAAGTTTTTTTAAATAACTTGTAAATTAAAATAAACTTGTTTCATATGTGTTAAATCATCAAAATCTAACATTTTAGAGTATATTCATTGATGTTTTGTATTGATTTATTGTTAACTCTTTAACAATATTTCAATTTTTCTCATCAAGTGTGCAGAAAAAGGAAAATTTCAAAATTCAAATTTAGATTAAATGTTTGTAATTAAGTAACAAATGAACCATTACTACATGCGCATGTAGACCCCTAAAATTGTCCGGGTCAGAAATAAGATGATATCCACTAGAGTTGGCCTAGTAGTTGAAGGTTTTGGATAGTAAGCCCAAGGTTCTAAATTTTAATCTTGTAGCCATTGTACAGAAGAAGTGTATGTACTCACTGTTTGAAAATATATATAACATAGCTTCTAGTTCGAAACTAATTTGTCATCTTAATGGCTTCTCTGTATGTCAAGATAAAATAATCCTCTTTTAGTTTGATGTAACTATTTATACCCAACTCAGCCACTTTGGACATTATGTACTGACTGTTTTAAGTAATTATAATATATCATTAATAAGATTTTACCTGCTATAGGGTAAACAGCTATTGCAAATGTTAGATGAAGACCCTGCATTGATGGAGAGGAGACAACAGTGTGCAAAAAGGCTTGAACTATATAAAGCAGCAAGGGATGAAATTGATTCTGTTTCCTGGGTACGATAAGCTTGGTTGCTAACTGAATGCCATCCTCCTTGTATGAGCAATCAATTCGTGGTTGGCTGAACCCCGATGTAATTTACATATTTACTATTATTTTATAGCTTTTCTTGGTTGTTGGGTAACAATGGAGTCAAGTTGATTGTCTGAATGTGTGGTGTACATACATACTGACCATGATGACCTTCACTGTGATATGTAGATTAAATTTGTGTATTCTTTGTATCTATTTCTTGGTTGTGTTAGATTCATGAGTTTTAGCACGACTATTTGGTGTTCCAATGTTTGTTTTCCTTTTTTTTGACACTGAAACGGGCAATAAAATTGGGTGAGAAGTCAGTACCACAGGAAAGTTGACACGAGTTGATGAATCAAGACCCAAATTGAAGATTAATCTAACATCGGCAAAATAAGAGATATGCAGAAGAGAACAAATTGAGAGCCAACGATAACTGATCTAAGTAGATAGAAGGTATTACAAGTTACAACTGATCATGTCAAAGTGGCTTAAGTTGAAGATTTATAGATGATCGTTCAAAATTGCCAAGATTGAAGAATTCGTGGGAATACCTAAGAATGCCTTGTTATGGTTACACAATGAGAATCACTTACCCTAATAGTGTGTTTGGATGAGGAATTTTACAAATTCAAGGAATTTTAAATTCTTGGTATTTTAAATTCTTGGTATTTGAATTACTTTGATTTCAATTTCTATTATTCTTAAAATATTTTGTTTGGATGAGTCAATTCAAATTTCTTAAATTTTAAATTGTTAGGTTGAATATGATAATTTTATTCCATCATAGTAAAATTGATTTTAAAAATATATTTATATGTTGAGATTTTTAAATTAAATTTTATAAAAATAAATATTAATTCATTTTTAAATATTTAATAATTTTAAAAATTAATATTAGATAATATTTAATAATTTTAAAAATTAATATAAGATAATATTTAATAATTTTAAAAATATTTTTTGTGGTGGGATCTTCAGATCCAATTGCAGGGTAAGAGACTTGAGTTCCACATCAAATGAATGGGAATATAGTTTAGAATATACAAGGCCTTGAGCTCTCCCACTACAATGGCTAGCTTTTGTAGAGTAATTTCCCCAAAGTTGTTATCACTATCCATTAAGGAAAAATGTGCACTTTCTTAAGAGATAAACTGAGAGAAAGTAAGAGCCTAGAGAATGTACCTCTTTCTTCCCTATTTGTGTGTAGAAATGGTGTAGCAATGACTGTTTTGCTTGCCTGACCTGACAATAAACAACAGCCTTTGGAATTGTATTTCTAAGAGTATCAGCCACCAACCCTATATAGGATGACACATTAGATGCAATTCTCCTGAAATGTCCTTCGGCATATCGATCAATGTTTGTGGCAGCAGCAGGAGTACCAGATTTCTCCACTTCTTGAGGAAGTCTCCGAAAGAAATCCACAGTGAGATAAGAAGATTCCATGTCTACAAGCCGAAGAGTTGTCTTCTTACTCTCTTCACGAAACCTTTCTAAAGCTTCATTTGCTGCTGCAGCTAGTTCAGCTTGAAATGTTGGGAAGCGCTTCAGCTCCTGTCATCACAGATTAGTATCTCTAAAAACTGTCACACAATTCATCACCAAGGTAAATATAAAATATACTACTAAAATTTACCTGAGTTTCAGCTATTGACTTCCTCACGAGTTCTTTTAAAACGAAATTAACCTGCAGAAAATCAAGAACGGTCAGTTTGATTCTTTTACTGTTAGATGAAAAACCAATAACCAGAGACTACAACTAGAATGCTTACAGCATCTACTGAAGCTTCAGCTGGGCCTCTAAAGTAACCAAGAGCCCCCTCAATCAGGCGCCTGTAACCTTGCTCTGGGGCAATCAAGTGAGGCTGATAACCATCAGCCTCTGACACCACTTTTCTTACATTCTGGAGAGAAAGATGCCGATCAAATGGAAGCTTCCGTAAAGCAGCAGGAAGCTGATTGTCAAAGACATTATATATCCTATCTCCTCCAGGCCGCCTAAGAATTAAAATGAAAATTATTATTTAAATGAAGAGACCCATCAACTAGTTCATAAGTGATAACAAACTGACATCCAAACAATCAATTCAAACTGCTTTGGCTATGTTCATTTTGGCTTATGCAGTGGACAAACCACATCACAAAGGTTCCTATTGCGGAAAGCATGTTTCCATTCAGCAGGTGTTAAGTGTTAACAAGTAAAGCATTCATAATTAATTCAAGTAATAATAAATTTTGTCATCAAAGGAAATACGTATGTAGCAGTTTGTCTAGAAAATAAGCAGCTCGCAAAGCAAAACCAAGGAACTAGATATTTCAGGAAAATAAAGTGTATTATTACAAGACTGCAAAATCCCATTTATATAGATTTAAGATGTTGTACTAGATTATAGATTATAGATTCAAAGCACATAAATTTTGGTAAAATATCTCCATTTTGGAACAGTATGCCACTTAAGTGGTTATTTAAGTTGGGTTAGTTGTTACTTGTTACCGATTAATTATCCTTTGACCATTGATAATCAGTTCGGTGATTCTGTATTCACCTTACATTCTTCCGCTTACAATCTGAAGTTTGTTTTAGGGATCGGTACAAGATAGCTATCAGCACACCAGATATTAGAACAGAGAAGGGGTGTCACAATGGGTCCAACTGATAGACCGTCCCAATTAGCCTTATGCATGGGCTGGGTTGGACTGACCGAATTTATTTTGGTTCAATCCAACCCAAAATTTAATTGGCCCAAGGCCTGCTGGCCGGTGATGGGCTGGGCCAGCTCATAGCCAGATTTATTTTTAATTTTTTATTATTAGTAAAATTGTAGATAATAAATTTAATACATGTTAATGTCCATTTTAATGTTAATATTGAGTTTTATTTTTAATTTCTAGCACTTGTTTATTGTTATAACATAATTGATAATGATATATATATATATATGTAAGGCTCTGATACCATTCTGGACGGGAGCCTTATATGTCATTAATATCTTTATAAAACTCTTATCATTAAGTATAATTATAATCAAGATTTCATAACCGAGCTTTTCCGCACACTTAGCGTACTTTTTCAGGTCCTGTTACTCTCTTGATCATAATTATACTAATAGCAAGAATTTTAATTATAACATTAATAACAATAAGGACCGTTCAAAAGGATCATTGATCAAATATATTTCTGATGCACAGGATCCATTTTCATGGCAAGTGCAGAGCATACTCTATATCTAATTGTAGAGCAAAGTATTCTCTCACAGTAGGAAGTCTAAGACATAATTACAAGAATAGAGCTTTCAGGAAAGAGAAAAATGTTTAGAAACTCATGATAATATAAAACAAAGGTTTTATTTATGATAGACGTTCTCTGCCCCTCAACGCTACAAGAGTCTTGCTTATATAGAGGAGCCGGGCTGCGGACTTGAAATCCTCTTGAAGCAAGTTTAAGACCATTAGAGTAATGGCCGACATCATTATAATGATTCATACTTTATAGTACAATGACTCATATTTTATAGTACAATGACTCATACTGATGTTAACTAAAGATGTTAGATTACATCTGTCGACACAAAACGACAAACTAGTACACACAGCTGGTTACACCATGCAGTTATGCTTTTTATCAGGATAGATTCCTTCAGACTTATTAACTTCACACGCTTTATGTGCTGGTTAGAAATTCCCATCAGTCAGTCTTTGAAGATAGGCTCATGACTTGGTGACAAATTTGGGTGTGTATTATCAGAATCAGAAGCTGAGCTGTAGACTTGAGATAAGGTTGGACTGTCAAAGTGATATGCATTATCTTCATGCATAATAATTTGTCCACGAGTATCAACATTTTGAAGAATGAATTGTTCTCCTGGAACTGTATTGACTGGTGGACAAACTTTCTTAGCAGCACTGTAATAATTTGTATCTGGCTCAGGAGGACAAATGATATTTAGTGGCTTTAGGTTGGCACATGTAGAACTTCTGTTAACAAATGATATCTAATGGAACTTCTACATGTGCCAACCTAAAGTCACTAGATATCATTTCTCCTCCTGAGCCAGATACAAATTATTACAGTGTTGCTAAGAAAGTTTGTCCACCAGTCAATACAGGAGAACAATTCATTCTTCAAAATGTTGATACTCGTGGACAAATTATTATGCATGAAGATAATGCATATCACTTTGACAGTCCAACCTTATCTCAAGTCTACAGCTCAGCTTCTGATTCTGATAATACACACCCAAATTTGTCACCAAGTCATGAGCCTATCTTCAAAGACTGACTGATGGGAATTTCTAACCAGCACATAAAGCGTGTGAAGTTAATAAGTCTGAAGGAATCTATCCTGATAAAAAGCATAACTGCATGGTGTAACCAGCTGTGTGTACTAGTTTGTCGTTTTGTGTCGACAGATGTAATCTAACATCTTTAGTTAACATCAGTATGAGTCATTGTACTATAAAATATGAGTCATTGTACTATAAAGTATGAATCATTATAATGATGTCGGCCATTACTCTAATGGTCTTAAACTTGCTTCAAGAGGATTTCAAGTCCGCAGCCCGGCTCCTCTATATAAGCAAGACTCTTGTAGCGTTGAGGGGCAGAGAACCTCTATCATAAATAAAACCTTTGTTTTATATTATCATGAGTTTCTAAACATTTTTCTCTTTCCTGAAAGCTCTATTCTTGTAATTATGTCTTAGACTTCCTACTGTGAGAGAATACTTTGCTCTACAATTAGATATAGAGTATGCTCTGCACTTGCCATGAAAATGGATCCTGTGCATCAGAAATATATTTGATCAATGATCCTTTTGAACGGTCCTTATTGTTATTAATGTTATAATTAAAATTCTTGCTATTAGTATAATTATGATCAAGAGAGTAACAGGACCTGAAAAAGTACGCTAAGTGTGCGGAAAAGCTCGATTATGAAATCTTGATTATAATTATACTTAATGATAAGAGTTTTATAAAGATATTAATGACATATAAGGCTCCCGTCCAGAATGGTATCAGAGCCTTACATATATATATATATATCATTATCAATTATGTTATAACAATAAACAAGTGCTAGAAATTAAAAATAAAACTCAATATTAACATTAAAATGGACATTAACATGTATTAAATTTATTATCTACAATTTTACTAATAATAAAAAATTAAAAATAAATCTGGCTATGAGCTGGCCCAGCCCATCACCGGCCAGCAGGCCTTGGGCCAATTAAATTTTGGGTTGGATTGAACCAAAATAAATTCGGTCAGTCCAACCCAGCCCATGCATAAGGCTAATTGGGACGGTCTATCAGTTGGACCCATTGTGACACCCCTTCTCTGTTCTAATATCTGGTGTGCTGATAGCTATCTTGTACCGATCCCTAAAACAAACTTCAGATTGTAAGCGGAAGAATGTAAGGTGAATACAGAATCACCGAACTGATTATCAATGGTCAAAGGATAATTAATCGGTAACAAGTAACAACTAACCCAACTTAAATAACCACTTAAGTGGCATACTGTTCCAAAATGGAGATATTTTACCAAAATTTATGTGCTTTGAATCTATAATCTATAATCTAGTACAACATCTTAAATCTATATAAATGGGATTTTGCAGTCTTGTAATAATACACTTTATTTTCCTGAAATATCTAGTTCCTTGGTTTTGCTTTGCGAGCTGCTTATTTTCTAGACAAACTGCTACATACGTATTTCCTTTGATGACAAAATTTATTATTACTTGAATTAATTATGAATGCTTTACTTGTTAACACTTAACACCTGCTGAATGGAAACATGCTTTCCGCAATAGGAACCTTTGTGATGTGGTTTGTCCACTGCATAAGCCAAAATGAACATAGCCAAAGCAGTTTGAATTGATTGTTTGGATGTCAGTTTGTTATCACTTATGAACTAGTTGATGGGTCTCTTCATTTAAATAATAATTTTCATTTTAATTCTTAGGCGGCCTGGAGGAGATAGGATATATAATGTCTTTGACAATCAGCTTCCTGCTGCTTTACGGAAGCTTCCATTTGATCGGCATCTTTCTCTCCAGAATGTAAGAAAAGTGGTGTCAGAGGCTGATGGTTATCAGCCTCACTTGATTGCCCCAGAGCAAGGTTACAGGCGCCTGATTGAGGGGGCTCTTGGTTACTTTAGAGGCCCAGCTGAAGCTTCAGTAGATGCTGTAAGCATTCTAGTTGTAGTCTCTGGTTATTGGTTTTTCATCTAACAGTAAAAGAATCAAACTGACCGTTCTTGATTTTCTGCAGGTTAATTTCGTTTTAAAAGAACTCGTGAGGAAGTCAATAGCTGAAACTCAGGTAAATTTTAGTAGTATATTTTATATTTACCTTGGTGATGAATTGTGTGACAGTTTTTAGAGATACTAATCTGTGATGACAGGAGCTGAAGCGCTTCCCAACATTTCAAGCTGAACTAGCTGCAGCAGCAAATGAAGCTTTAGAAAGGTTTCGTGAAGAGAGTAAGAAGACAACTCTTCGGCTTGTAGACATGGAATCTTCTTATCTCACTGTGGATTTCTTTCGGAGACTTCCTCAAGAAGTGGAGAAATCTGGTACTCCTGCTGCTGCCACAAACATTGATCGATATGCCGAAGGACATTTCAGGAGAATTGCATCTAATGTGTCATCCTATATAGGGTTGGTGGCTGATACTCTTAGAAATACAATTCCAAAGGCTGTTGTTTATTGTCAGGTCAGGCAAGCAAAACAGTCATTGCTACACCATTTCTACACACAAATAGGGAAGAAAGAGGTACATTCTCTAGGCTCTTACTTTCTCTCAGTTTATCTCTTAAGAAAGTGCACATTTTTCCTTAATGGATAGTGATAACAACTTTGGGGAAATTACTCTACAAAAGCTAGCCATTGTAGTGGGAGAGCTCAAGGCCTTGTATATTCTAAACTATATTCCCATTCATTTGATGTGGAACTCAAGTCTCTTACCCTGCAATTGGATCTGAAGATCCCACCACACTCTGCAGCCACCAGCATCCATGCATGTGGCAGTGGCCCCTTCAACTAATCCTAGCCATACACTGCCATACCAACATCACCACCCGTGTTGCTCACTTGCAGCCAAGAGACATGATGAAAAGCTTTGATACCTATTGATAAGAACCTTAGGGAGAACTGCACCACAAAAGTTAGTTGTTGTAGTTGGAGAGACTAGGGTCTTATAAACCACACATTATAATTTCATACTTCTAATGTGGGAGTGAGACTGAAGACCCATACCTTGCAATTGAATCCTAAGTTCTAACAAATTGTTGCAATTCTGTAACTTCAGTTAAGTTGACCCAGATGGACTCTGCCAATCATAATTATATAGTATCGAGTTGCCTTTCTGACATTTGATTTATCTAATCATTCACATTTTTAGGTAAAAACTATTTTATATTTGTTAGAGATAGTGAAATATTCTTGGGGACAATTTGTTATAGATAATCATCTTTACCTACATGATATGCTCCAAATACTGTTACCATCGAAGGATTAGTCAGTTGGCCTTTATATTATAACATGCTTCCAAAAATTTAAGTCTAGGGGTAATTTTGTGTAAATTTTAGTTAACATAAATGATAATAAATATTGATAAACCCTTTTAGTTGTATCAATACAAAATTTCTTGAAACTATATCGTTTCTGTTGAGATCTATGGTAAGTGCTTTGAATATAAAAATTATGTAGTTATATAATTATTTGAATGTGTAATGGTTTGAGCCATCCATGAAGAGGGCATACAAATGAACCATCAAATTTTTATTATGGTGCTATATTTACTTGATAATTTATCTTATGTTTATAAAGTATGTAAAACAAAACTTGAATTTTGCTTGGAATGTGATGTTAAGAGAATGGAGCAGGTCATTTGGTCTATGAGCCTACATTTGATAGAAGACAAGAATTTATTCTACTATTTGGTGGTAAAAAGGAAAATGTTATAAAATGCATATTTAAACATGTATATTTAATTGTAGTTAAATATAGTATATTCAATCTAGGGTAAAAGCCACATTAGTTTGTTGAAGGAAGGGGGTAATATCCGTTTGTCGTCTCCACTGGATCATTCTGTCAAATGATTCATTGTAGAAACACCAACAATTATCAATTTCATGCCTGTTGTGTTATGATGATGATATCCACTAGAGTTGGCCTAGTAGTTGAAGGTTTTGGATAGTAAGCCCAAGGTTCTAAATTTTAATCTTGTAGCCATTGTACAGAAGAAGTGTATGTACTCACTGTTTGAAAATATATATAACATAGCTTCTAGTTCGAAACTAATTTGTCAGCACATATTATTTTTATTTGGTTTTATTTAGATTTTAACTTTATTTTCTTCTATATTAACTTGTATTTATTATTAAGGTTCCATGAGAGGCTCATGGCCAAACTCTCATAGAAGGATTCTTCTTATCACAATTAATTATTTTCTTTTGCTTAATAGGTTCTAGTGATATGTTTGATTAGTTCCTTCATTTTAGAGTTGTGATGAAATTGTTCGTTGTAAACCCTAATGATAAATTCATCAATTATTTTGATTAATTGTCAAATTATTTTAATATATTATTTCTCATCTCAATTAGTTATAAGCGCATAATCAAACACTTTTAATTAACAAAAACTCAAAATAATTGAATCTTGAAAATTGGCATGAATCAAACTATTTTTTTAATTTCTAATTGAATTAATCTATTAATTCGTTTCTACGCACATATGTTTTATTTTTAGAATAAAACTCTTATAATCAATTTGTGTTTTTCTTAAGATAAAGACTAATAACTTCTTGGAATTATAGGCCTGTTGACAATTTTAGGAGTAAAATTAGTAACATTGTTTTATAATTTATGAACTTTATTATATTGGGAGAATCGGAAACAATAAGTCACAACTCTAGAATTTTTATCTTTGATTTTCAATAATATTTTTCTTAGTATTAAATTTTTAAATTTTAAATTAATATTTCTCTCAATCAAATTTTGTTCTCTTCAAATTGCTAAAAGTCATGATTAAGTTGATAATTGCTTGAATCTAATCCTTTGGGTTCAATGTATAGATTTATTCCATTGTTACTACTATGATAAGATATGTTTTTCTTAAGCACATTTTAGACGCAATAAGTTTCTACCGTCGTTGCCAAGAAAAGTTCCAAGCAATATTGACTGAAAAGGGTTTTAGTTGATTTAACTTTTTGTTTTTATCTTTAATTTTTATTTTTATTTTATTTATGATCTTTGTTATCATCTAATTCTTCTTTCTTGTGTTGTATGCTAAGCTGCTCAAAGAGGCCTATTTTGTAGTACAATTTTGAGATCATAGAAACAACTCATGGGTTAAGGAAGAAGACATAAAACATAACCATACTGATTGAAGAGGAAGAGTTTGAGCCCATACCAGTTGAAGAAGGAGAAGAAATATATGTGGAAGAAGTAGTCATTGTAGACAAATGTCCCTTAAAGGAATGGTTCCTCCCAAAAGTCAAGGTAACTAATAACATTTGTCGGGCTACAATGGCTACTAACACTTTTGAGCTAAAGTCGACCCTTATATCCATGGTCTAGAGTAATCACCAATTTGGAGGTGATGAGTCATTATTTTCCCTTATTTTCTTACCTTTCTGTACTTATTTTAATATCTGATTTGTGTTTAATTGTTGATATTCTGCACTGTTTTCTATTTGGGCTTTAATTGGACCGGTAATTCATATTTTAACTAATTTGAATTTTTCGAATCTAATTATTCCAATTTTTATTTTCAGGGCAATTTAATAATTATCTAGGCTTGGAATTAATTTCTGGACTTCAAGTGGAGCTGTTACGTCATCTGCTACGTCAACACCACATCAGCGCCACATCAACATTTTGTTTTATTTTATTTTTCATTTATTTTATGTATTTTTGGGTCAAACCTGACTTGGGGGGCCATGTTGACTCTTCTAGGTTTTTTTAGGGTCCTAGGGCAGCCACCAACTTCCAGACTTGATGTGACCACGTTGGATGGCTGCCTTCTCTTTGTTTTTCACGTTTTTCTCTCTTGTAGCTAGAGTTTTACGTTTTGTATCTGAAACCCTTGCATTGAAGAATACAGATTATCCATTTTCGTTTTGCTCTCCTCTCCTTGCATTTTCGTTTTGCTCTCCTCTCCTTGCATTTTCGTTTCTGTATTTTAATGGAAGACTAAAACCCCAGGGTTGGGCCCTTGGCAGATTGCAACCCTCTGATGGAGGTTCTCTGTGCGTTGCATTTCTATTTCGCTTTATTCTGTCTTGTGAGGTCTCTGTTCTGAGGCATTCAACATCTAAGTCATGCTTAATGACTCTGGGTTGTTTGCGTTCAATATCTCAGGTTGCTTAATCCTGAGGAAGGAGATGACAAGGTTCACGTTTTCTTAATTCGTGTAGTGAGGTCTCAAGTTAATCTTCGCTTAGTTGGTTAATCTGGACTGAACAAGATTAAGTTCGGGCAGATTATCTTTTGTGAACCGAGGATATCAGAGGTGCATTATGTTCAAGGGTCTGACCTATTTTAATTACTGCAATTAATTCATATCTACTCTGTGTTTTATTTTAATTGTTTTTATTTGACCGGATACGGCTTCGATCAGGAGGGCAACCTATCGAAGATCCTTTGGGTCACATCAAGAGATTCTTGAGGATTATTGATATAGTCAAGTACAACAACATTCCTACAAACGTTATTAGACTTGGCTTGTCTCCCTTTTCCTTGAAGGATAGGACATTGGAGTGGTTGTCATCCTTGTTGTGACACCCTCTACCCCGCATACCATAACACTTAGATAACAAAATTTGAAGAACATAATCTTTCCTTTTTAAAATATCAAACGTGTTTAGATAGAGAGCATCACATCCATGACTTAAACAAATAACATAATCAGCGAAAATTACAAAGAAATAATGTTAAGGTTTCCAAAATAATTTAATAAGAACAACATTCTAATCTAATCCTATCTACGCCCCAATGTTACATGTCCTATCAGAGCAAAGCCCAACATTGAAGGAAAACAACACAAAAAAAGGGAGTGAGAAACATCTCACTCTGGCTCACGGTGTAGGAATACATACCGGATAGCCAAACACAAACAAGACATGTACATAGCATAGATAGATTACAACAATATCACATTCCACTCATCAATGACATAAAAATCACTTTAGTATATATAACATTAAAATGCACATGTAATGGACACAGACTACATATTATCATGCATGTGGCGCCAATAACACATCACATGATGTATTGCTGCTAGTAATACACGAGAGTAGTCTAGGAGTACATGCCAGGTCACACCCTCTATGCACTCTCATTAGAAGGACATACTACCAGGGTTTCGTCGGGATAGCTAAGCTACGCAAGATACATCCCATGCACACAATGGGCTAGACTGGGACTTCCAAATCGAGTTATCCCCAAGGACTAATTCCCAAGCTTTTACACAAGGAGGCCTTCCTTGGCGGTGTATTACATATTGTACCCTTAAAAAACATTTATGCAAATGATGCATGTCAATTAAGACTCTATGCATTCTCATATCACATTATCATGTCTCATTATCACATATCCTCATATCTCATGTCACATATTCACATTTCACATTATCTCATCATATTCACATAGTCTCCACAGAGCACTTTAATTCATATCAAAACTTGTCTATTTGCAAAATTAAACACATATTCGTACATCTCATCCAACACGAAATACAACAGAACAATCAGAAATTAAAACAGAAAACATTCATATTTTTCTTGTTTCTCATAGGGTTCTCTCAAGAACCCACAGAGCACTCTAATTCCTACAATAAACATTTAACACAATACAATTTACTCATATAATTGCCTCTTCAAACAATCTCATCTTACAATCATCAATGCATTCCCTTAGGGTTTCCCATAGGAATCCATAGGAACACCAAAGTCTGCAATTATAATCCAAACACCAACACTACTCATACATACATTCTAATTACATCAATTAGAACATTCAGGGAGAAACAGGGATGAAACGGATACAATTAGGAAAAACCCCTCATACATGAGCACACAACAAACATAGGATTGGGGGCCAATCCCACTACCCAACATACATTCCCATATCCAGAGTGAGGTTTCTCACTCCCCCCTTACTTGGATAAGTAGAAGATGAAGCTAGAGTGGAATCTGGTTGATCTCCTTCTCTTGGTTCTCCTTGATCTTCAGAGAGTGTGTTCAGAAGTAGTGCTAGAGTCTGCTATTTATAAATGTCAGGGGTGGCCAGAACGGCCCGTTTTGGATTTGGAACGTCCCGTTCTGGACTCATTTGTCATGTGTAAAATTCACATCTAGAACGACTCGTTTTGGGATTGCATTTTAACACATAACGGCCATGTTTGGAACGACCCATTCTAGTTTGGGAACAGCCCGTTCTGGGCTACCAAAAATAGGTCTTTTTAGTAGTTTGGAACGGCCCGTTCCAGTTTGGGAATGACCCGTTCTGGGCTACTAAATCAACCTTATTAGGCTTTGAGCCTTCGTATAATCTGTGAAAATCGGGGTGTTATAATTCTCCCTCCTTTTTGAAATTTTGTCCCCAAAATTTACTTGCTAATAACAACATCGGTACTCTCGCATCTGACTCTCAAATTCCTAGGTCGCACTCTCCTCAGTTGCCTATTAGAAACTATACTAGTAGGAAAATCCATGTAACCTCACTACCTCACTGATGTACATCTCTATCAATCTCTCAAAGGAATGTATAATGTTAATAAGTACAAGGTGAGCAAACTTGGTGGGTCTATCCACTATAACCCAAATAGAATCAAATTTCTTAAGCATCTTTAGGCAAACCTACCACCAAGGTCTATCTACACACCATCTCACTTCCAAAATGGGGCATCTAAAGGCTGTAAAAATCCTAAAGATTTCTAGTGTCCTACCTTAGACTTTTGGCATACTACACACGAGTACACAAATTCCTCTACTCCTCTCTTCACCTTAGACCACCACGCTTTCGCTATGCCACTCTGATACATCTTAGTAGCTCCTAAATGAATGCTAAGAGTACTCTTATGTCCTTCTTCTAAGATCATT